ACAGAGGGAGGGAGGGAGGGAGGGCGGAAGGAAGGGAGAAAGGAAGGGAAGGAAAAGAAACGAATAGCCCACAGCCATTACAAAGGGAGAGGCAGACCCATGTCTTCTGAAGTAGAATGACCAGCATATATTCTTTTTAAACCAGCTTTCCTTTTTTTAAATGAGACTCACTGACGTTCTTAAGGAAGATCTTTGGAAACACTCCAGTTTGAAGAACTCCTAGAACATACAGTATTCCCCCACAGACAGTGCCATGTGATTGAAAAACGTTAAGGGAGCCCGGGCCCTGGAGAGAGACTAGTGGGTGGATGTGGAGTCTACTCTGCTCGCACCTGAGCTGGTGATGGGAGAGCACCAGCCTCTAGAACAACTGCGCCCAGCCTCGTGTCGGAGACCTTGGGGCACACACAAGCAGTCAGACCTGCGGGTGTCAGGTCCATGCGTTCCTGGCGACCTGTGGACTGTGCCCCCGGCCCAGGCACACAGCTGCAATGAGGCCACAGTCATGGTCACCCAGGACAAGGGGTGTGGCAGGTGGGAAGTATGGTGATAAGTGCCAGGTGTGTGACCACACACACATGTATCATGGCTGCTGCCAGCCCGTGGGGCAAGGCAGATGTGTTTACAGAAGCCACAGATTTCTGCATTTTTAAGTCTTGTCTTTCCAAAGCTCACTGCTTCTGCAAGACTGTGGTCTAGAGACCTCCGTGCAGGAAAATGTCTGCTGCCCCAAGGCCCCCTTCACAGGACAGAGTGGGTCGAGGGCAAGAGAGCCGGGCTCTGAGTCAGCTGCCCTTGGGAACTGGGCCTCTTGTCCCCACAATGGAAGGAAAGGCCCTGTCTTTTCTGGGTGTCCTGTGGCAGCCTGGAAGGTGTGTGTCGTGAACTGGCACAAGGTCAGAGACAACATGGACAGCAGGAACAGCCGCTGCTATGCTCCTGAGGTCCTTGTCTGCACTAACCCCTTAAGCCTCCCAGCACCCTCCATGGGGGCTGCTGCTGCATCCCCTTCTCTGTCCTACCCTGACCCTCTCAGGCCAGGTCCATGGTCTGATACCTTGCTGAGGACACTGAAGATGGGTGCGCCTGGGACAGCAGGCGCTTCGAATGGTCGTGTGAAACGGAAGCGAGGGGCCGGCTCCACTGGCTGAGGCTGGTGGGGACAGCTGAGAGCTGTGTTCTCTGGTCCGCTCTGTGGTTCTGAGACAGCCTGTCCACTGCATTCCTGAGGGGGCCTGAAACCACATCAGTGTCTGGGGGCTACCCAGGCCTCCCGGGTGCATCTTGACCTCACCATGACCAGGCTGGCTCTGAGCATCCTGGCCATCAGGAAGCTGTGGGTTCTGCCCAGATGAGGCCCAGCTTGGCAGCCACATCCAGGCTGTAGCGGCAAGAAGGATGGGCAGACATTTGATCAGATATGACTTTGATGCAGATTGCTGATTCCAAGCCAGTCTGGGGGCAGGGGAACTTGGCTGAGCTAATCATATGAACTATTAGCTGTCTCACAGGAAGGCTGGTCGGAAAAGGAAACACACAGGGGAGGTGTTAGCTGTGATGGCGACTTTTGTTTCTCTCTTTTCCTGTTCAACACAACGTGGGACTTGGCCCTTATAGGGAAGAAGTAAGACCCGCGTTGTCTCCCACTGCCATAGAGAGGGACCTTCAGTGACTTTATACAATAAACCCCTGTCTTTTCCAGTTGCTTTCTGGCTAATTTTGGTCCCTTTTCTTTTGCCAGTTGCCAGTGGCTCTGCCCTCTGAGGAGGAAGAACAGGAAGCCTGGGTGAATGCCTTGCTCGGAAGAATATTTTGGGACTTCTTGGGAGAGAAATACTGGTCTGATTTGGTGTCTAAGAAGATCCAGATGAAACTCAGCAAAATAAAGGTATTGCTTTCCACACGAGGCTTCTAATTCTCCACGGTTCTTAATTTTTGGAAGTTTTGTACTCTCATGTTCTAAGTGAAAAGTGATTTGGTTTAAGCCTGAGTGCTTCTCAAGCAGCACATCTGCCCTTGACCACAGACTGACCTTGATTTTAGGAATAACTGTATCTGGGGATGTGGTGAACATGTCTGTTTGTTTCTCGTGTTGCCCTTGTTGTTATCCATGTTAGGTGATAATCCAGAATTGGCTTAGAAAAATGTGCGCTATTATATCTGATTTGTTTTGTATAATTCAGTTTCCTTTAAGCTAGAAACAAATTCAAATTGTGTGTCTACGCCCACCGAGCCCCACAGTGGTCTAGGCTACATAGGAGAGATGCTGAGGAAGGTACCAAACTACGTAAGACCTCTTGGTACCCACTCTGAGGAAGACCCTGAACAAGTAAGACCTCTTGGTACACACTGGGAAAGATACAGGACTATGTAAGACCTCTTAGGGCCTGCACCGAGGAAGACGCTGGACTCCTCGAGACCTCCTTCCCAGCCTGTGTTCCCTCTCAAAGCTGGGAGAGTTAGCACTGCGCTGTACATGTGTCTGTGTTTGACTTTTACTTTTTGCCCTGATGGTATGTTTTGGGTTCTCTCTTTGCTGAGGAAACACTCCTGGTACCGATCAAGGGCCACTTGGAAGAGAGCTTAATGTGTGTTAAGTATGACCGTCATTAAGTGACTGTCCCCAAATGACCCATTTGCTAACCAGAAGACCTTATTCGGAGGATCTTGAAGTTCCTTAGAAGTAAGTTTTTGACCTGATAAAGAGAGACCCAGCCAGAGAAGAGTCACTTTGGTCCCCACGTCTTCACTAAATACTTACAGGGTCAGTAGCTTAGGTCATCAGCCCTGAAGTGTTCTGGATCACAGACACGTCTGAGAGGAAGAACCCTATGGGTCCTTTCCCTAGAAAACACATACTGGCAGAAAATTTTGCTCATGACTGCAGAGTTTTCTAGGACTTCATATTAAGAAACTGTGAGCTATGGTAAAATTAGATAAGAAGGAACATGGAGGGGCTTTGGTGTGATTTCTGTCATTCCTTGGGGGAAAGAACAGAGCTTTTCCTGGCTTAGTCAAGCTCTGGCAAGCTCTCTGCCACCTGCAGGCCAGGGTCATCCCTTCTCCAGCCCCAGATGAAGAGGGACTGCCTTCTGAGCCCTAAGAGCGGATTTCAAGGCAGAATTCGGGGCAGGGTCTTGGGAGAGCTCCGTTGCCAGGTGTCAGCCTGTTTGGGTTCTTGAAGTAGGCTGAGGGTCAAACCCACTTCTGCCAACCAGTTCCACGGGGTAGCATTGAGCAACTGCAGCCCTCTGTGCCAAAGATGCAATGACCACAACCCGCATTGTTCCCATGTGAGAACAATAGAGGGCTTGAGTTCCCAGGTCAAGGCACAGGGCGGGTGGCCCTGCTCTTTGCTGAGAGACTGTCTTGGGACCTTTCCTGCGCAGGAGGGCTGCTGTTGCTGGCAGCATGCAGAAAGAAAGCAGGGCGTGTCAACTTCAGGTGGGATCCTGCCCCCTGCTGGAGCACCTGCCGCCTCCTGAGAATTTTGATGGAAAGTCTTCTGTTGTCATTTTCTCTTCTTGCTGGCCATAGACCTTACAGTCCACAGCCTTAAACTCCCTTTAGTTCTGTGAGGTCAGAAGTCCTAAAAGGCTAGGGTGAGATGTGTGGCCTAGATCCCATAGGGGCAGGGCCCACATGGGCGCCTTGTCCCTCACTGCCAGCACAGCACACTTCCACGCCCTCTGACCCCACCTGAGCCACACTGCCCATGACACACCTCACAGACCTGAGGAGGCGCTGGCATTGGAGTGGACGACAGGAAGGCCGAGGGTCTTGTCAGATCCTGACGCTGTCACCACCCCTGCCAGAAACCCTATTTCCACCACATGTCCTCGTACACCTCAGAGGAGCCAGACCTCAACCTAATGGCGAGGAGGGGTGGGTGTCAGCTGACAGCTAGTCAGCAGGGGAGAGACCGACAGAGAGGTAGTACCTGGAGGAACCCAGGCTGTCCGGACCCAGATCTCACTCTCCTGGCTTCCCTGGAAGGCCTGCCACGTAGAGCACTCCCTGCCAGCCTTGTCACCTGCATGGGACGATCATGCTGTAGATGAGCAGGCTTGTGCCCAACTAGCTGAGCTTCCGCCCCAGGAGCAAGTATGCCCCTGGCCTTGGCCAGCTGCTCGAACACAGCCCTGGGCTCGCCGTGGTCCTGGGCCTCTTGTGCCTGTGTCAGCAAATGCCGCTGCAGTTGTGCACAGATTCTGTCACCCGCCACCTGAGCATGTCCCGTCCACCTGAACGTTCATTCCCCAGCTGACATCCAGAGCTCCGCTAAAATTGTGAATGGAGTAAGATTAAAACACACACACCTAAATCCAGGTGGAGAAAATACAGATGCTTGGATTCTCAAGGCTTGGGATGAAGGAGGGATGTCTGATCATGATGCTGACTAGGCCTCCGATGTTACTTCGGGTGGAACAGACCCCGAGGACAGGTTTGGGGAGTGTGTGAGTCAGGGGCCTGGCGGGAAGTAGGTGACATGCTCCCATGAGTCACCCGACAGGAGAGTTGTCTGAGGGAAGACTAAGAAAGGCGCGGCTAAGGAGAGGCCAGCAAAAGGGGGCAGCTGCCACCCTCCCCAGGGGGCAGGGGCAGTTCCTGGAAGGGATGGGAAGGGAAGGGGACAACTGTGAGGAGAGGCTGCCTGTGTCCCAGGAGCCTCCAGTGGAGGGAGTGGACAGATACCCAGCAACACTCTGCTCTGGGCGCTTCGCACTCCCTGCCCATTGGCGCATCCCACTGGCCAGGCCAGCCAGAGGCCAGAGGGCAAGTGAGACCATGGGCGCAGTTCACATAGACCCACCATGCAGGGTCGAGAGTGGATGGCAGCAGGCAGAAAATGCCCGGCGCGGGATGAGGAAAGCCACGTTTTTCAAGGATTTTAAAGCACGTGATCAGTTTGCCTCTTAGATATGGAGCGATTTCCTGTTCCCCTGTGGTCCGTGCTTCAGCAGCTTTTGGGTGGCAGCAGCTCCCTGTGGGCCGCTCCTGCGCAGCGGGTCTAGGGATGCCAGCCGCAGAGGAGCCCTCCCTGCCACCTTAGCCAAGACAGACACGTGCCCAGTGCGCGACCCGCCTCACGGTCTCCGTCGCGGGGACCCTCTCTGGATGGGCCTTGCCATGCCGCCTTCTGCCTCTTCAGTGGAGCCCCCTCGAGCCAGGCACTGACCTGGCCATTCACGCCTCTCTCTGGAGGCCGAGGCTGGCACGTAGTCTGCAGCCTGTTTTGGCTCGCAAGGTGATGTGTCCCCCAAGCCATGACCACTGCCTTGCCGAGACCACGTCTCCGTGTGGCTAGGAGGTTACTCCAGTCTCACTGGCTGTTTCTTTCCTCCAGCTCCCTTACTTCATGAATGAGCTCACCCTGACGGAACTGGACATGGGGGTGGCTGTGCCAAAAATCCTGCAGGCCTACAAGCCTTACGTGGATCACCAAGGTAACTCCTCATTGGTCCTAGAGAGAGATGGTCCGTTTCTGTGTCAAAGTACTTCCAGTACTGCGGGTTCAGGACCAAGGCTTTGTGTTTGGAGGGTCGAAAGCCTTTATAGCCACCCTGTTTCACAGTGAGCATCTTTGCTTCTTTTTTTTTTTTTTTTTTTTTTTTTTTGAGTGGGTGTCTCACTCTGTCACCCAGGCTGGAGTACAGTGGCACGCTCACGGCCACCACTACCTTGACCTTCTGGGCTCAGGCAATCCTTCTGCCTCAGCTTTCCAAGTCACTGGAATTACAGGTGCGCGCCACCATGCCCAGCTAATTTTTTTTTTTTTATTGTAGAGATGAGGTCTCGCCAAGTTGCCCAGGCTAGTCTAGAACCTGTGGGTTCAGGCAGTCCTCTCACCTTGGCCTCCCAAAGTGCTGGGCTTGTAGGCGTGAGCCACCATGCCTGACCCATCTTTGCTTCTTAATGATCACTGTCTGCAACTGATTCTAAATAAATCTGGGCTCCCTCCTGAGACTTCCAGTGTCCCAGGTGTTCCAGGCTGCTGGAAGGGGTGGCAGCCACTGCCAGCCTGAGGCAGAGGGCTGGATTTCAGCTCCACCCCCTCTCCTGGCCCCCTCGGATGCAGTGGCTTCACCCCTTCTGGTGTGTATTCCCAGCGGCACCCTGACTTCCAGGTCAGACTTCTTGTCCTTCGTGTTGTATTTCTCTGTGTCCCTTGCCACTCCGAGTAGGTGCTCAGCGAGTGTCTGCGAAGTGAAAACATGCTGTTTTCAGAGGGAGGACTTTGAGAGTAGGGCTCTCTGCTGCCAGAAAGCTCTGAGATTGGATTCTCTACACGTGTTAGGACCAATATTCCCACCCTCTCTTGTGGATGGGGGAAGAGAGTTGATGAGGATGGAGAGTTCACACAAAATTATGATGAGGTAAAAGATTTACATGTCTCCTGTGTCACATAAACAGTAAAATGGCTTTTAAAGGACCTTGACAAAGAACATTCAATGTGTAGGAGTTTGGTTAAAAAGAGGCATGATCTAGGTAGAAAGAGTAGCCCAGGAGCACGCCAGGAGGACTCTGACTCCTGTGCCCAGCCTCCCTCACCCACGAGCCCCTCCCAGCCACGGAACCATACTGGCACTCTTCCTGGCAGCCAGGAGCAAGGTGGGGAGGACGGCAGCTTCCAGGAAGGGGCGAGCTACCTGAATATGAACGCTTGCTGGCGATGTGGGGCCATGGGGGCTGCTTTCCCTCTGCTCTGTGGGATGGCTCTTGAGTCGTGTCGCGTGGACTCACGTTTCTGCTGGCACGGACGCTGGCTATAAATGTGAAAAGAGGCTTCAGGCACCAGGGTGAGCAGATCTCTCCAGTACTCTAGGGCTGACCGTGAGCCCATCAGCATGCCAACATCACATCAGAGACCAGGAATTGTCTGCACACCCGGAAGCCCACCTGACAGCTGCTTGTTGAGCTCCCTGTAACCCCTCAGTTATGCACCTTGAGGGATCTGCGCGTTTCTGGGTTTGGTCTTTTCTGGTTCAGAAAGTAAAACTAGAAAGTCCTTCAGTTTCTTGCAAGTGGTTTGGCTAGAGTATTTTTAACCCGTGAGAGGTTCCAGAAGCTACCTCCTGAGTGTGTTGGTGGCATAATTGGGGTCTTCACCCTGTCTGGGCACACAGGAGCTGCCCTTTCTCTTGCGACGTGGAAGCCTCTCTGTTGCCTTTTGCTCCTGGCTCTTAAGGAACTAGCGTATTACCAAGATGGCAAATGATCAGCTAAGACAAACCTCCTGAGAGTCGGCTAAAAGGAGGAAACAGTCCATGTGTGTGCCCTGTCTTCTCATGCAGGCACCGTCTTTGTCTCAGGACTGTCCATTGCTGGGTTTATAGGAATTCCCAAGGAGAGGGGAGCAGGGCCGCCATGGGGCCGGGCAGCTCTGAGAAGGCTTTGAACTCTGCAGCCGCTCAGGGCAGCTGTGGTCGGACTTTGAGTAAAATCCACCCCGAACCTAAGTCTCACGTCTTGACTTCACCCCAGGCAGGAGCTGGGGGCGGGGGGCCGCTTCCCTGTGTTGATTAAAGCGCTTCCAGCTTCTGATCCACAGAGGCTCAGCTGTCTCCTTCCAGGGCCAGTGCCGGAGACCTGCCTGCATGTGCACCAAGGGAGGAGACCTTGCTCAGGAGAGGAATGGTGGAGATGGAAAGCCTGCGGGTCTTCGAGTTGGATCAAGCCAGGCGTGTGCCTCTGTGCTGCTGGGAAACAGACATCTGAATTCCACCGCTCTGCAGGAGCTTTTCCACCTAGGGAGCTCAAAACCTGAGTGACTAGCTAGAACGACTGAAAAGCCCGGCTCGCCCAGGAATGCCGCTGAGGTCATGTGAGGCTTCGCCAGCCCCAAGGAGTGGCTCTCCCACATCCCGTGTGTTTCCTGATGGTTTCTGACTGACTGGGTTGTTGGTGGCACCGTGTCGCCGCTAGCTGGCGATTCCATCCCCGACACTGAGCGCCCGCCCCGGAGCGCCACCGGGTCACACTTGGTGGCCTCAGGCAGGCCCTCCCCGCCGCACCTCCTTATCTCACAGGACCGTCTTGTGGGTGCGGCTTGGGTACCCGCGGGTGACACGCGAAGGCGCCCAGGCAGCGTCCACCCTTGTAGCTTTCTGTGGGTACCGCCTGGATGCTACTGCTGGAGAGTGGCTCTGCGGCACTCCAGGCCCAGAGCCCGCAGAGCCCACCCAGACAAAGGAGTGTCGTCTGGCCCACTGGGTTCCAGGGCAGCCTGGAGACTCTGGAGTCGGGACTGAAGTGGGCTGACCGCCTCTCCGTGGGCAGCCCATGCCCCCAGTGGCAGGTGGCCAGAAGAGGGGCCAGATCTGTCCCTTAGAAATGGGCTGTGCCCTCCTACCCCAGCTCTGGCCCCTCCCCATTCCCCGTGCTGCCTGGAGCCCACCTCTACCTGCTGCCTAGGTGGCCTCCACCTTTCTCTCCCAGAGCTGTCTCTGCTGCCCTGCCTGCACTGGCCTCTCCATCCCGCCTCCCGGGTCTGCACTAAGCTCCTTCAGGTCATTTTGTCAACTCTGCTAGGGTGATACTTGCTCACTCGTTCATTCGTTTGACAAATATTTTTGTAGGGAAAATGGAAAGATTCGGAAAAAGGAAAATGTTTCCTATCCGATAGCTAGGGTTACCTTCTTGGTATGGTTGGTATATTCTCCCCGATCTTTTTTCTTAAGGAAAAATCAACTTAGAAAGTACAGCTCTTCTTCCAAACCCTCAAAGAACTGGGCGAACTTGAGGGGCTGTGAGATTGCCTAGCCTGCCCCACCGTGTGTGTGGGAGCCAAAGCCCGGGGGAGATTTATAGGACAGCCACAGCCCCACCTGCGGTCTGCTCCACAGCATCTGGTCCTGGGCCAGAGGCTGGCTGGGAGCACTGGCTCTGCATGAGCCATGGCGTGTGGGGCAGCTGCGGGCCTGTATGGAGAGACTGGCCACTCCCCGCCTCAGTTTCCTCCGTCTGGGTGCTGGCGGCAGGAGCATGCCTGCTGGTTGTGGTGAGGGTTAGGGTGAAGTGGGCGATGCTTAGGGCCAGCCTGCATGTCGGAAGCCTGCAGAGGTAGCTGCTGCCGTTGCTTTGTCATTAGCAAAACCTTGCTGTGGTGACTGGGGAGACCTGTTTCTGTCAGGTGGTTTTCGTCTCCCACACCTGGGGCCAGGAGTAGTAGAGCAGCACCCAGGGTGTCGCAGAGTCAGCAGGGGCAAGTGTGCTGACTGGGACCCTTCAGACCGGGACGGCTTGCTGCGTGTATTCGAGCCTGCAGACAGTCGCCGTGTATCCCCCAGGACAGAGGGCTGTGCCGGGGTTGCCCTGTTTTGAGCTGCCCAGATAGCAGCCTGAGTTTCAGTGAAAGGTCTCAGGTTCTGTGGAAATGTTCCGTGTCCTTCAGGGGAGCCTTGTCTGTCTCCAGAGGTGCCCTCAGTCATGACTGCAGCTGTCAGTGCCCACATGTATGCTCTTGCCCCGGACCTGCAGTGCCAGTGCTTTCAACCAGTGCGGGGACCGAAGTATTACCACCCGAGCATCACAGGAACCTCTCGGGACCAACTTCCCTGCCCTGGTCAGTGTAGATGGAAAGCAGCATCTGAAAAGAAGCGTCTCCCATCCAAGCCCTGACACGGCCAAGAGCACCCAGGACGAGCCCCAGTGTGACCAAGGGCACCCAGGACAAGCCCTGGACAACCTCGTCTTGACGCAGTGGCGTTGGGCTGTGCCTGTGGAAGAGCGCACGTCCCGTCCTCACACTGTGGCTGCATTCACTCCAGAGGGTGCCGCATAGAACGGGAAGCTGCCTGGCTGGGGAACCCTCATGGAGCCACGGTCTCCCTTGTGCAGAGGAGGAGGCTGGGAAGCTTCAGGGCAACAAGCCCAGTCCATGTGACTGGGCTCTGTGTGCCTCCTGTGGTGTTCTTCTCTGCTCCTGGAAGGGACCCTGTTCGAACTACACATCACTGGGGCGTGACCACCAGTTTACTGACTATCTCCGTGTCCCTTCGTTTCGAAAACAGATGAGCAAAACCTTTACTTGTAAGAAGTAAAATTCCAGGGTCTTTAATATGTCAGTTTTCAAAGGCAATACATGCTACTAATATTTATTGGACACTGGGCTAGGAATTTCAAAAGAAATACTTATGTTTGTTATATAGTAACCACTTAGTTTGAGGCTGTTAATTTTTAAATTAAAGCTGGAGCTATTATATAATAATAAATATCTCTTTTTATATTGAGCTTACAAGCTATTACTACCTAGCCTTTTGCTCTAATCCCCTTTCCACTGGACATGACTAAGGACTAAATGTCTTAAGGCAGAGGGACCCTTTATTTCCAATAATGGTACCTTTGAAGAGCAAGCTAATGAATGGTTTTTAACTGCTTAACATAAGCAAGCAATAAGGCAGTTTTGTGAGTGTTGCTACAAAGAAAACAGTAGCAGCTGATCTGCATGTCACTTAATCAAACTCATACAAAGTAACTGCCTCCAATTATGGTAAGAGAATTCGTTGAAGACAAAATGGAATCATTCTGCCTGCAGTGAGGAGGGTCAGCACTGCTTTGGCCGGTGGCAGCGCCATAGAGGGGGGCGTTGTCTGTAATCGCGTGCAGAATGTGCCATCTGTGATTAATGTCCTGCTTCCTTTCAGATGTTGTCATTTTTCATATGAGGATCTACAAAGGTTTACTAATGCTTAAATGCCCACTTGAAGGATCCCATTTTGGCTGAAAGCCCACGAATACCCTGGGTCTCTGAGTCCGGAGAATCTCAGTCTGTCTTACTGGCCAGTCACAGGCTCCCCTGGTAGAATGGGGTCCTGAGGTGGCCCCTCCTGGCATTTAGGCTGCTAGTCCATGGCTGGCCCAGTGAAATCCCATGAAGCCTCGTCTCATTGGCCTCAGCGTCCTTCCTAAGGAGGAGGCTTTTAAATTAAGGGACAAAGTGATTACCTGACTGTCTGGAGAATCCTCAGAATTGAAAGTTAGTTCTTTTGTTTCCTTTACCAGGCAATTTCCAGAAAAAAAGGAAGGTTCTGCAAGTTGTTGTCACTATTCCTTTGAGACCCAACCCAATTGGAACCACTTTCCGTGCCCACCCCCAGTCCTAGATAACTTAAGAAGGACAGTGCTTGTCATCTGTGACTTTGGCCAGCAGTCCAGCCTGCGGCACCATCTCTGCCCACTCCTCTGCTGTGCGGCTGTCTATGCCACAGCACACCTTGTCCTGACTTTGCCTGATGAGGCCCTGTCCTCTGCTGGTGTGTTTTTTTTTACTGAATACAAGGAGAAGCCCAAGGATGGACCTTCGCAGTGTGCCATGTGTATGGATTCCCTGTGACCACGTGATGGAGACTGAGGTGGTGGCCATTCACCACGTGCTCGCCCTCCCATGGTCTCTTCTTGCACGCACTGCCAGTGTGGCACACTCACAATCCTCTCGCCTCTGTTAGCACAGCTGTGTAGACCACCACTGTGGTGTCTCCTTGGACACTTTAAAATATAAGTTTTTATACTGTCATTTATATGTTGTTTTGGGGGAATAAAACTTTGTCTTTTCACCATTTCTCCAGGACTCTGGATCGATTTGGAAATGTCCTACAATGGGTCCTTTCTGATGACTCTTGAGACCAAAATGAATTTGACCAAACTAGGTAAAGAGCCTCTTGTTGAAGCCCTGAAGGTTGGAGAAATTGGCAAAGAAGGGTAAGGGGCCATCTCTGAATTTACTAATCCCACCCCAGGGGCCAACCTCTCCCTGCAGTCCTTGAGGCAGGTTTGCTGTGTAGCCCTGGCTGTTGAGTGAGTGTCTGCAGAGTCTTCTGGACCCAGTGTCTCATCCCCAGCCACCCGAGTCCCACCCCGCTGTGCTGTGACGGCACCCTTGTCCTCAGTGCTGGCGGTGGTGCACGCAGTAATGATTACCCAGAAAGCATCAACGCCTCAGACAAGCAGGGCACACTCGTCTGAGCAATAAAATGCTCTGTGAATAGAACCATTAAGAAAGTTCTAGCTGGGCTCGGTGGCTCAGCCTGTAATCCCGTGCCTTTGGGAGGCTGAGGTGAGTGGATGGCCTGAGCCCACGGGTCCAAGACCCGCCTGGGCAGCGAGACCTCATCTCTACAATAAACCGAAAAATGAGCCGGGCGTGGTAGCGCGCGCCTGTAATTCCAGCTACTCGGAAGGCTGAGGCGGAAGGATCGCCGGAGCCCAGCAGGTCGAGGCTGCAGGGGCCGGGAGCGGCCGCTGCACTCCAGTCTGGGCGGCCGAGTGAGACTCCGACTCAAAAAAAAAGGAAGTTCTGCCTTCAACTTCCAGCCACACACAGCAATATGTGGAGTGGGCCAGGGTCCCCAGGGATCCGTCGACTTCGATCACAAAGCCAGAATTACTGGTCATTAGCTGATTTGTTTTGAAGCTGGAGGGGTGTTCATAAAGTGTTCTGTGAAGCATTTTCCCAAATATCACAATCCATTTGCTTATTAGTAAATGCCTCTCTTTGGAGATAGTGCATCTGCTGCCCAAGGTTTGTCTGATTAAATAAATATTCCAAAATAGCGAGATAATTAATGAAGCTTGACTTTTTTCTCTTAAATGCCTAGGGTGGATAAGCTGGAACTTTCACATCCCACATTCTTTAAGAATGACTGTTCTGACTGTAAATTTAAATTATATTATAGTTCCTACCAATTAACAAAGTTAACCAGAGACTGCTTCTCCCTCTCCACCCTTTGCATGGATTCAGCAGTGCAATGACAGGAAAATGCCACAAGAGCCACCTCCTCATGGTGTAAAATGAGTTGCTGGCTCTTGAATTTTAGCTGAGTTATGGAACCGACCTACTGCTTGTTTTCACACGTGTGGTATTAGCAGGCTGGGGAGTCGGGCTACACATTGGAATCGTCTCCTAGTTCATTCTGATGTATCCAAGTTGCCTAATGGAGTGTTCCTATTTTAATCCATCTAACCTGTATCTGTGCTATTTTCCTTTCCTTTTTCTGTTTGTGGAAATGTGTTTGGATACGGCAATCTGGACTGGTGCATTCTGGTGAGTGGTGTTTGTCAGCTCCCCATGTAGCATCTCATGTCCTGTATGTTCTGGCACCTGTCTGGTCTCGTGTGAAGCCACGGGAAGCCTCTCTCCTCCTCATGCTCTGGAACATGCAGGCACAGTCCCTGGGCCCAAGAGGACGGAGGTCGGGAGTGCAGAGAGGCTTCCCGGCAGGGAAGGCCTCACAGTCGTCTGCAGTTTAAAGTGCTGGAGACCTGATCTGGTTAGATTCAGCTTCTGATCCTGCTACCGCCCTGCCCAGACAAAGTGCAGAACCTGCCCTAGCAGGGGAACACCCCTGCAGGCAGGGCAACACCCCTGCAGGCAGGGCAGGTGGCGGTGGGCCACAAGCTTCCCTCGGCGGGAAGCCTCGTGCAAGGAGCTGGGGTCTTAAGCATTAGGCATGGCCATGAGACTGGTCCCTGGGGTCTTTGCCACATAGGCATCCATATCTACTGCTCTGCGGGTGGCCCACGAGGCAGAGTCAGGTCATACACTGGAGCTAATCAGAGGAGGGACCCATTTCTGAGCCAGCCATGCCTCTCCAGTAGAGGGAGGAAAATCCTCTGCTTTCGGAATGTGGTGGTATTTAGGTGTGTGTGTGTGTGTGTGTGTGTGTGTGTGTGTGTGTGTTAGGAACAGGGCTTCACTATGTTGCCCAGGCCAATCTTGAACTCCCGATTCCAAGTGATCCTCCTGCCTCAGCCTCCCAAAGTGCTGGGATTATAGGTGTACACCACCACACCTGGTCACATATTTAATTCTTTATTTTATTTTATTTCATTTTTTGAGTTGGAGTCTCACTGCTGCCCAGACTGGAGGGCAGTCGCCGCTCCCAGCCACTGCAGCCTCGACCTGCTGGGTTTCGGCGATCCTTCCGCCTCAGCCTTCCAAGTAGCTGGAACTACAGGTGCGCGCTACCATGCCCGGCTAATTTTTTTGATTTACTGTAGAGATGAGGTCTTGCCAAATTGCCCAGGCGGGTCTCAAACCCGCAGGCTCAGGCAGTCCACTCACCTCAGCCTCCCAAAGGCGTGGGATTACAGGCTGAGCCACCGAGCCCGGCTTAATTCTTAATATATTTCTAAAGTACCATTTTTTTCTTGGAAGAGTCTATTGTAAAATGTTTGGCTTCCTCCTGTGAGGGCGTTAAATTATATGCTGATGTGTAACTGGCTGTCATTTAAATTTAAAAGAAGGAAGGATACAGGCCAAAATTACTTCAGTTGGGAGGAAGAGGCCTAGAAAAATAGACACCTAGGCCTTTTGGGCATAAAGGACCCCTTGGGGAGTCTGAGATCCCTAGGCCGTTCCCGAAAATGCTTCTACATGCACTACTCAGCTCACAGTTTCTGGGAGCCTCGAGAGCCTCTGAGAGCCAGTCTGAGGTTCAGAACTGAATCCCAGAAGTGACCTGGAATTGCATCTTGGTCGCCTTGGGCGTGTGGTGTCACCTTGAGGCTGAGGAGTCCACGCAGAGGGGAGCTGCTGTAGGGCACATGGCCTTCGGTGCCGACTCCTCCTCTAGCGTCAGGCCTCTTTCCAGCCTGGCGGCCTGTCCGGAGCTTTACTCTGCTCAGCGCCTGCTCCCAGGGTCCTGTGGCAAGGCCTCTGGCTCGCTGTGTGTCTCGGCCCCCGTGCAGCGTGCAGTGGCTGCTCCAGGCAGCACTGAGGAGGCACTGGGGCAGGGCCACGGACGTCCTCCCTGCTGCAGGAGGCACGCCTGCCCTGTTGGCAGCCGGTGGGTGCTGAGACGCTGAATGCTGTGGTGCTGCGTCGGGCGACGCTCTCCCTCTGAAATGTGTTCACTGACATGTGTGTCCTTTAGTCTTTTTATGTTCCTAGTTCTTTTGGTCACGTGCGGTCACTGTCACATGCCTGTTGGGCAGTTTGGAGAGTGAGCCGAGTTTCTTAGCTTCGGGAACTGACCCAAGAAGGGAAGGGCGTGCCTGGGGGACAGTCTATGTCCTTTGGACACGAGTGGCCCCTCTCCTGTAAGGCATGGACTTGCTGCTGAACCGCCACTGCCACCTGGGTCAGTGTGCCCGTCCTCGAGTCAGAGGGTGACCCCGCCCCCGCCCCCAAGGTTTGGGCACCGAGTGCTTGCTGTGAACGCTGTGCCTGGGTTGAGTTCATGGCACGTGTGTGTATGTGTGGCAGATGCTAGGACTGATTTCTCTCAAGCAAAGGAAAATTAGCACATTCTTGTGAGCGTGGCCTCCCTGGAAGCAACCCCTCCCAGGGCTGCGTAATCTAACCCTGCTTCCTCCACTTAAAGCTGCTTTTGGAGCTCAAAAGCACTTGTGGAGTCCGTGACATTGTTTCACCTGTCCTGAGTGACAGCAAACTATCCTGCTGTGTAGATGGTTTGGATCTTTGAGAGACTGCTAGGTGTCCTCAGAGGTGATGGCGGTTATGAGACCCAGAAATAAAATATTTGGTCTAAGAGTGTTAGTGATCAAATACTTCGCTTTTCTTGCATGTCCGACTCCAAACACATTTAGGAGAAAGGTTTTTAGCAGAAGCAGCTCAACAGGACTCAGCCTTTCAGATAGCTCCAAAAAGATGCCACACCCGTCTATAGCCTGAGCTGTCCAGAGCAGTTGGGCCTGGGGTGTGCCGGCTCACCTCCCGGGACAGTGCAGCACGGTGCACCCTGAGCTTGTGCTGCTGCCGGAAGGCTGCCGTCGTGAGCTGGTGTGCGGTGGTGAAAGTGACAGACGTAGTCCGTGTTGACAGGGTGCGATTCTGGGCAAGTCAGAGGCCCCCCGTCTGCTCTGCAGTAACTGCCACGGCATTGCCTCAGTTGTTCCCGCAAGCCCCGGGACATCCTGCCCTGTGTCCTGCGGAGGACGCACTTGGGGCCTGCAGCACAGTGCAGCCTGGCCTGGGTAGCTTCTGCCCAGGTGATGTACACCAATGGAGACAGGCAGGGTGGAGGCTCCGCCAGCCTCCCTGTAGCCAGACCTCATGGGCAGCCCTTGGGGCCGTGTGGAGAGGGACAGGCTGCCGGTGCTGGGGGCAGCCGAGGCCCGAGAGCCGTGAGCATGGCCGTCTCGCCAGTGGAGGTCGTGTGTGGTTCTGAGATGGGGTCTGATCTTGGGGATCATGTCTCCATCTCTCCTCACCCCAAGGTCCAGTCAGGCTTCGTGGGGAGCCCTGTCTTGCTCCGTGCACGTTCACTCCGAGTCTCTGGGAGGGCTGCCTGACCACCAGAGACTGAGTGGCTCTGTGACTGAAGTGCACATGAGCCCCACTGGGGCAGGAGGAGGTGAGGCTGCTGGGCGCCATCTCAGGGTCAAGGACAGGAGGCTTCTGTTTCTGCAGAGGGGCTTCCCTTTAACACGAAATCCAGCCTGCTGACCGGCGTGCTGGCTCGAGCGTTTCAGAGCCAGTGAGGAGGAGCCCGTGTCCTGCCCAGGTGGACAACCTTTGGGTCCTCTTACACGGGCTTCTGCATCAGGCATGGAGGCTTCAGTGTGACCCTCCCTATGCCCGGGCCCTGTTGGGCCTTCCAGCCCATACCAGCATGTGTGCTCTATCCTCAGGCCCTTTGGTGATTCTAAGTTCCCTGTAGTTGGCAGATGACTGTCCTGGTGGGCTTCTGGTACACAGGGTCAGTGCCAGAGGAGAGCCAAAGGATGGCGGTTGGTGAGCAAGAGCCTGAGCTCCAGGCCTCCCCTGTCCAGGTCATTGTGTCATCATCAGACACCATGCCCAGCCCCTGTGTGGTGACCATGTGGTTCTAGGTGTTCAGAGACTGCTCTGTCCCTTACTCACATTTCCAGGTAAGTCTCTAAGCAGAGGCACAGCCCAGGGAGCTGCTTTCTGGGGGGGCTGAGGCTTGGCCCGGGGCCCCAGTGCCCTCAGTGGGGCCCTCGAGCCTTCCCCTCCACTGGTGACCTAGCAGCCACAGAAGGTGAGGGAGGGATGCAGCCCTCTGTTGAGGCTCTTGGTTGCTTTAGAGAAAAGAGTGGTCTTCCCATGTGTGTTCTTCCGGGAAAGCTTCCTGGTTCACATGTCAGTTGCTTCCCAGAGTCTCTTGAAACTTACACCCTGTGGTCATTGGCGTTTCCTGTGACCCTTAGGAGATAGGTGTGGAGTAAGATACAGAATCCTGCCAGGGAGGAATCCTGAGTCCAAACTGACTTGAGGGTGGCTAAGTCAGAAAGCATCAGAGCTGTTGCACTTGGCCAGAGTCAGGGACTTACCTGGATGTGCCATCACTGGTGAGGGGTGGTCCTGTCACCAACAGGAGCTGTCACCTCATCCTAACCCTCTGCTTTCTCCATTCACCGTCCCATGTGGCTGCACTACCGATGGCATCACTGCATTGTGTGTGGACACATCACAGCCCACCCATCCTGGCGCATGCTCAGCAGCAGACTCTTTCGGGCCCAAGTTCTGGGTGGTCCTGCTGGGCCATGGCGCCGAAGAGTCTCCGGCTGCCATGCCCATCCAAGGGCTCTTGGATCCGGTCTCCTCTCTCTGCAGAGAACAAGGGATGTGGGCACGACCCCATCCTCGCCTGTGTGATTGGACAGGTGTGGCTGGGGAATGGTCTGTGTGAGCCAAGCCCAGGAGGCTGGCCACAGCGCTGACCCTCCCTCTCAGTTGCAGGCCCCGGGCCTTCTGTCTGGCCGACAGCGAGGAGGAGTCCTCCAGCGCTGGCTCCTCCGATGAGGACGACGCCCCCGAGCCCAGCGCAAGTGACAAGCAGCTCCTCCCAGGGGCGGAAGGGTGAGTGGTCACATTCTAGAGCCGCCCGGCCTGGGCAACCGGCCAGAAGCGAGCCCTGTTTCCTTCCTTCCTTCCTCTGTGCTCTCCCTGCCCCTTCACGTCGAGTGAGTGCTTTTTGCATTGACGTCCAGCATCAGTGGGCTGTTTAAATCCCAGGCCCAAAGCAAGATGACCTACAGAGCTTTCCTGACTTATGAGGGCTGGGGCCAATATGGCTTCCTCCTGCTGTCGAGTAAGGCACAGAGAAGCTGGAGGGCATGCTTGTAAGGGAGAGCGCTGCCCTGGATCTCCAGGAGCACAGGGCGCCCCCACCCCCTCCCCTGGCACCAGGGAGCCCACTGCTCTGCAGCTGGGCACACGTGCCTTGGCTGAGCTGCAGGCTCCTGCAAGGCTGCCACGTTCAGGCTGTTTCTTTGGTGGGTTTTTGAACATGTGGGGTACTCAGCTGACCTTTTGGACCGTGAGTATCATCTGGGGCTCTCTGGCTGCTGGGCTGTGGAGTGATCAGAGCACTTAAGCAGTCTCTCTGTAGAGACCTTCCAGCTATCTAAAGTGAGCTGAAGAAACTCAGATGGTAAAGAAGCCCGGTGAAGCAGAAACTTGTCCAGGACAGCGTCCACAGATCCACTGCTGAAACCCTCCAGGAGAACTCAGACATGCGAGGCTTCGGTGCTGCAGCTGTGTGCCTAGCTTGAAATCTAGCCACATGGCCTTCTTAAGAGCAACTGTTCCCACGCATATGCTCTTCCTCAGCTCTGGAGCCCGAGGGCTTCCAGGAGCAAGCATCAGGCCGGGCTCGGTGGCTCAGCCTGTAATCCCAGCACTCTGGGAGGTCCAGGTCGAGTGGATTGCCTGAGCCTGCAGGTTCGAGACCAGCCGAGCAACCTGGCAAGACCTTCTCCCTACGATACATCAGAAATTAGCCGGGTGTGGCAGCACGCGCCTGTAGTTCCAGCTACTTGGAAGGCTGAGGTGGAAGGATCGCCAGAGCCCAGCGGGTCGAGGCTGGGGCGGCTGTGAGGGTGCCACTGCACTCCAGCCTGGGCAACAGAGAGAAACTCTAACTCAGAAAAAAAAAAAGAAGCAATCATTCTCTCTTAGATCAGTCTCATGGTACACGTGACCTGATGCAAAGCCTGCTTTCTTGGCCTATTAGCATGTCGGCTTGATGTGGCATTTTTCTTTATGAGGCTCCAAGCCCTTTGAAAATAATGTGTCACTGGGTTAGCATGACACCATCCTGAGGCCAGTTGGCTCCTCCCTGGCTTGTGTACTGGTCGGCTTGTGTGATTTGTTATTTGTGGGGAGGTAGTGAGGTTTCCCCAGCAAGTCGCTGACTGCTGTTCAGTGCTTGAGTGGTAGAGGAGGATGGGTGAGAAACCCCCTCTGCACAAGGGCTCTGCCTGCTCAGGACTTGGGCTCCATCCAACGTCTGCACTAAACTTCTCCATAGCAGTTCTCAGCTGGGGGCGACTGGCCCCCCCAGGGGACATTTGCCCATGTCTGGAGAGGTTTTCTATTGTCATAACTGGGGGGCTGCTACGGCCATCTTGTGGGTGGAGGTCAGGGTCGTGCAGTGCTCAGGACAGCCCCTGCCCAGAGCGACCCTGTCGGAACTGGCAGGAGTATGGCTCTGAGGCAAGGGGACCCTAGGGCCATGGGTCAGAGGGCAGACCCGCACTCACCCTTTCCTCTGCACTCCTCACTGCAGGTACGTTGGAGGCCATCGAACGAGCAAGATTATGCGGTTTGTGGATAAAATTACCAAGTCAAAATATTTCCAAAAGGCAACAGAGACAGAGTTCATTAAAAAGAAGATTGAAGAGGTCTCCAACACGCCCCTGTTGCTCACTGTGGAAGTACAGGAATGCAGAGGAACCTTAGCAGTCAATATCCCACCACCCCCGACGGACCGAGTGTGGTGCGTAAGGGGCCCTCAGGGCCAGCGGGCGATTCTTCTTGTTGCGTGACCCTGAAAATCCCAGCCTGCCTCTCCTCGAGAGCAGGAAAGGTGCCTTCTGGGCAGATGCCCGCCCACATGTTTCTCATGGGCCCTCGATGCTAGTTGCACATCTGACTGTCTCTCCTTCCATGAGTGATCAAGTCAAATCTGAGGGTGCTTCTTCCCATGGAAGGAAAGGTTAGGGTCAGTACATGAGCTTATGGGGTGAGCTGATTGTTCCTGGTCGCCGCCGCCGTGAAACCAGCTGTTCCCTAGCAGCAGCAGCTGTCGTTTGTGGCGAGACCCTTACTCTGCCTGGCTTGTCCTCACACCATCCTGGGGAGATCTGTGCCTCGTGACCCCTGCTTTGCAACTGGCAACCACACATCCAGTGGAGTGCAGGTGGTAAGGCTTCCTGGGTGGGGCCTGGATGCTGGGAGGCCGGAGCTTGTGCTTACCTCTGAGGAGCTGGTTCTGGCCCAGCTGTGTGTTCGAAGCACCTGTGGACATGCTACAAACAGTTTTCAATGGACAGTCTCAGTCCTGTCAAATGGGCATAAGCGTAAGAGATCTCATTGTACCCTAGACTAGGTACATAACAAAAATACAACTCTGTGTTCTATCATAGAGTGAAACCAACATGCTAGTACATATTCTTGGTGCTCAGAAGGGTTTGTAGGAACAATCAGAAGAGGATTTTGAATGGACTAACCATTTGATGATATGCTGGTATTTCCCAAGATAACTTAAAAACATCTTTTTAGAGTTTTTTTTTTGAGTTGGAGTCTCACTCTGTCGCCCAGACTGGAGTGCAGTGGCCGCTCCCGGCCACCGCAGCCTCGACCTGATCCTTCCACCTCAGCCTTCCAAGTAGCCAGAATTACAGGCATGCGCTACCACACCTGGCTGATTTTTTTGATTTATTGTAGAGATGAGGTCTCACTGCCCAGGCGGGTCTCGAACCCGCGGGCACAGGCAATCCACTCACCTCAGCCTCCCAAAGGCGCGGGATTACAGGCTGAGCCACCGAGCCCGGCTAGAGTTTATTTTTTAAAAGTAATGTTTTCAATGTAAAAGAAAAAAAAAAGTAAAACTGGGAAAAAGAGAAATGGGTACCATCCAGAAATAACTGTACTACCTTACTCTACATTCCTCCAAACTTGACACAAAAATTTTTTTAAAGTAAGAGATAGCACATTTCTTCCTTTTACTGCCAAGCTTTTAGAGTTATCAGTTACAAATGCCATTGCTCAGTAGGAGATAAAATTAAAGGACTCAAGGATGCTGCTACCCGATGCATGGATAAGTGCTGAACTGTGTTACCCGTGAAGAGAAGTCTAAACATTGAGAGTGTTTAGAAACGTTTATGGCAACTTGAATTTTTGTTTCTTTTTTTGAGTTGGAGTCTCACTCTGTCACCCAGACTGGAGTGCAGTGGCCGCTCCTGGCCACCGCAGCCTCGACCTGCTGGGCTCCAGCGATCCTTCCGCCTCAGCCTTCCAAGTGTTTCATTTTTTTGAGCTGGATTCTCATAGTTCACTGCAGCCTTGAACTCCTGGCCTCAAGTGATCTTCCTGTCTTAGTCTCCCAAAGTGCTGGAGTTACAGGCATGAGCCACTGCACCCAGTCCAATTTGATATTTTAATTGTATTTCTTTTTTTTTTTTTAGTCCGAGTCTTACTCTGTCACCCAGGCTGGAGTGTAGTAGCATGCTCATGACCACCGCAGCCTTGACCTGCTGGGCTCAGGTGATCCTTCTGCCTCAGGTGATCCTTCTGCCTCAGCCTTCCAAGTAGCTGGAACCACAGGCATGCACCACCATGCCTGGCTAATTTTTTTATTTATTGTACAGATAAGGTCTTGCCAAACTGCCCAGGCTGGTCTCAAACCCCTGGGCTCAGGCAGTCCTCTTGCCTCCACTTCCCAAAGTGGTGGGATTACAGGCGTGCGCCACCACGCCTGGCTTTTTAATTGTATTTCTAAGAACATTGGTCCATGCTAGCTTTAAGTCTTGAGATAGTATAATGGCACTCGGGGTCTTGATTGGATACAAAAACCAAAAGGCGATGCTCAAGTCATGGACTTTCCAGTGGCGCTTCTTGGCCTTTTCAGTTTGTGAGAACTGTTCTAAATCCATCAATACCCAGGAGTACGGGCATCACAGTTGATGCTGTATGTAGAGAACATGAAAACGTGAGAAAGCCCGGTGTACATGAGGAGTGTTTGCTGTGCTCGTCTGCTTCCTTGCTTTGTGGTTACTACTGTTCTTCAAACAGGTATGGCTTCCGGAAGCCACCATATGTGGAACTAAAAGCTCGCCCAAAACTTGGGGAGAGAGAGGTGACCCTGGTTCATGTGACGGACTGGATAGAAAAGAAGCTGGAGCAAGAGTTTCAGGTAAGCCTGTGGTGTTGGCCAGGAGTTCACTCCGAGTCGAGCGCTGGGTCGAACCGAGGCTTTAAACTGCCTCTGGGTCAGGATTGTCTTTTGAGAGTCCGTGGTGAGGATTTTTTATTTGATCAACTTTGGGTGAAGCATTTTAGATGTTTCCAAAACACTGAGGCTTATCTACAGTGTTCAGGGGAAGCCCAAAAGCTGCAGGTCAGAGAGCAGAGTGATGGTGCCGTGCTGGTATGCTGTCGTACTCCTGGCCTGTGGTCGGGGCGTCGCTCTTGGCCCTTGTGTGGTGTTCACTTGCTGCTTGATCAGTTCAACAAACAGTCATGGAAGCCCTTCTGTGTGCCAGGTGCCACCTCCCAAGTCAGCTTGTCCCTCCCCGGTAGCTTCTAGTGTAGTCTTGGAGATTACTAGGCCGAAGCTTATTCTCCAGCCTGTCTCCTGTGTTCTGCCACCAAAGGTAATGGCAAAGGGAGATGAGCTATTCCCATCAAACTTGTGTCAGATATTGGAGGCATAGTTGTCCTTCAACATTCTATGGATTAGCAGACTGTTTACTTTGTAATGGAAGGATTGCCCGAAGCCAGCAGGTCGAGGCTGCGGTGGCTGTGAGCATGCCACTACACCCCAGCCTGGGTGACGGAGTGAGAATCCAACTAAAAAAAAAAAATTATTCTGGGCTTGGTGGCTCAGCCTGTAATCCCGTGCCTTGGGAGGCTGAGGTGAGTGGATTGCCTGAGCCCGCGGGTTCAAGACCCACCTGGGCCACTTGGTGAGACCTCATTTCTACAGTAAATAAAAAAATTACCCGGGCGTGGTGGCACATGCCTGTGGTTCCAGCCACTTGGAAGGCTGAGGCAGAAGGATCGCCGGAGCCCAGCAGGTTGAGGGCTCTGCATTCCAGTCTGGGCAATGGAGTGAGACTCCAACTCAAAAAAAAAAATTGTATTATTTAAAAGCTAGAGATTGGCAGGGCGTGGTGGCTCACGCCAATAATCCCAGCACTTTGGGATGCCGAGATGAGAGGACTGTTTGAGCCCATGGGTTTGAGACCAGCCTGGGCAACTTGGTGAGACCTCATCTCTACAATAAACCAGAGAGCTGGGCGTGGTGGCGTGTGCCTATAGTTCCAGCTACTTGGAAGGCTGAGGTGGAAGGATCACCTCAGCCCACCCAGCATGTCGAGGCTGGTGGCTGTGAGCGTGCCATCGCACCCCAGCCTGGGTGATGGAGTGAGAATCCAACACCAAAAAGAAAGAAAGAAAGAAAAGCTAGAGATTAAACATAACTGATAACCAACTTCTAGAAAAGTGTAACATTATCACCAAGTGGAGAAATACCTTGAACCTAGTTAGGAGAAAGACCCTATGCTTTCATGCCTTCAGTTTTTCCCTTCTTATAACCCTGGGTCCTGTGTTAGGAATTTGGGAGTCATCCTTTTTATAGGGGTACAGGGCTACAGGGACCCAGAGAAGAGGGGCAGAGATTGACGCCTGGTACTTTGGATGTGGGCTGGGCAGTTGAAGGATAACTGCTTCACCCCGCCAACAGCGACCTGCTTTTCATTTGTGCCTTTGTCACAGCATTGCTGACTGAAATTCACGTATGAAGTAACAGATACAGGCAAAGCACCATTACTGCCAGTTCTGACTATCCTTTGGGTGTTCTCTAGAAGGATTTCTCTTGCTGGGTGCAGTGGCTTACGTCTATACCAGCAATCTGGGAGGCCAAGGCAGGAGGATTTCTTGAACCTAGGAAATCTAGAGTAGCCTGGCAACATTGTGAGACCTGTTTCTGCCGAAAAAAGTCAAAATAAGCAGGCGTGGTGGAACACACCTGTGGTCCCAGCTACGTGGGAAGCTGAGGCAGATTACTTGAGCCCAGCAAGTTGAGATGGTGGTGGCCGCGAGCCTGCCACTGTACTCCAGTCTGGGTGACACAGTGAGACCCAACTCAGAAAAAAAGATTTTATGAAATAACTTTGGTTCTGGGTTGAAAAAAAAAAAAAAAGCTTACATTGCGTTGCTAGGATTTAAAAGGATATGTAATTTGGAAATGTGGGCAGCTTCAGCCAGCTATCCTCAATTCATGTTGAGTATTTATCAATTCATGTGACTGATTTTACTGCCTGTGAGCTGATTTACTGGATGATTATATACAGGCACTGGTGTGGTTCCGCAATTCAGGTGGTTGCAGGAACCCGTTTGGGGTATAAAGTTCCAAATGTACTTGCTGAAAGTCAGAGTAGTGGGGGTGCCTGCCTGGCAGGGCATCCTTCCCCATGGCTGTTCTTTACTGTCTCCCTGCAGAAAGTTTTTGTCATGCCAAACATGGACGATGTTTATATCCCTGTAATGCATTCAGCCATGGACCCTCGCTCGACTTCCTGCCTCCTGAAAGACCCACCTCCAGAGGCTGCTCATCAGCTGTGAGGAGTGGTGAGGGGCGCTCCCAGCATTATGAGACCAGGTTGGAGCGTGGGTTCTCGGCCACCATCTGTGCTCTAGTGCCGGCCTCCACTCGTGCCACAGCTGCCGTCTCTCAAGAACTACTTCTGCCTCTGCCTGCTGGTGCCCATGCCACTGTGAGGTGTCACCCCGGCATCCAGGGAAGGTGTCTGGACTGCCTGCTGCACAGCTTTGACCTGGCAGAGGAGACCAGAAGAATCATCATGGTGACCCACACCACGGCTTCTTCACATCTGCCGGTGTGTAAGGCCGCAGATGAGCACATGAGGAGCAAAGCTGCACACCCGGAAGCCTCCCGGGCCTCAACTCCTCCAAAGCTTTCTTTGGCAGCCAGTGTGCAGCAGAACACAAGCATGCCCTCCACACCCCCAGAGGTTGGTGTGCCTGTAGGCAGGACCCTGTGAGCCTTTCCTGGGTGATGAAGAGGTGGGCATAGCAACTTACTTTCCACGCTGTGTATTTGGAAGCAAGTAGCTACAGAACACACTAATAGCCAGAGCAGGGATCGGGGCTGTAGGAGAACATCAGGCAGAGCGAGATAGAACCACCCCAGGTCTTTCACAGTGAGGTCGGCAGGCTTTCTCGTGAGGTCCTGAGACAGACAAGGCACCTGCCGGGGCTGCCCCTGAGCAGGCAGGTGGGCCCAGGGCATCTTTGGGTCATGAGTGCCCCAACATAGGCACAGTCCACTCCCTGGGCTAGTCTGGCTGGTCTGGGAGCATTGTGGGCAGCCTCCTTGTCTGACGGCCCAAACGGAAACCTACAGTCCGGGGCGGTAAGCCCAAGTCTGCTCAACGCAACATCCCATCTCAGAGCTGACCTTTCTTCAATGTTGCCAACTCCATTCGTGCATTTGTGTCAGATTGTTTAGTTTACGAGGCCGATGCCCCAATCGCGTACCCTGCTTGCGAAGTGCCCCAACGCGACCCTCCCTCGCGTGGTCGGAGCCGCTTGGGGGTTTTCAAGCAGCACCTTGCCTGAACCTGACTTCGGAGAGATTAATATATTGGAGAAGATATCTGAACCCTTATTTGGTCATTTTAGTTGTACCATTAAAACACTTCCCTCAAACTGACCCTCGAGCAGCGTGCAGTGATTTCTCCGCCGGGTCGCGGAAGGGCCGGGCCAAGAGCCGGACACGCTGCGGAACCCACGGGGTAGCACCCCCCCACCTGCCCACGTCGCGTGGCACCAGCGGGTGGGGCTCAAAAGCAGCGCGTGGCGGCGACACGACACACGACACGGGGCTGGAACACAACGCTTTATTGGGGGAAGGAGGGGGCGGGCGAGAGGCGAAGAGCGCGGACCTCGGCCAGGCCGACCTCCCGAAACCTGGCTCCGCCGCCGAAAGGCCGGAGCGGCGCCAGGGCGCGGGCTTAAGGACGCGCACCGGAAGCTGCGGGGCGGGGCTTAACGGTGTTGGCCAATAGCCAGTTAGACTTTTGACTACGCGCGCGTAAAGAGGCCTGGTGATTGGCCGTGTTCGCTGCGTTTCCCAGCCCCCCCCAGGATAGACGGGCCACATTCGACCCCAGAGACGGGCGTCTAGGAAGACCTGAGTTGGGGAGTAGGGCGTTCTCCTAAGTATTCAGAGGTGATTTTTCAAAGATTACTTTGACTTTTTCCCACACGTCCCGCCTGCAGGGCAGAGCTGTTTTCAGTGTCTCGATCGCCAGGTCCCTGCAGTACGAGACGCAACTTTAGAACAGCAGGAGGCGAGGACAGCCTGGCGGGGGGGAGGCGTGATGTCCCGGGGAGGCGGGCGCGACGTGACGTCCCGGGCGACGGGAAAGGACCGCTGTGCGAGGCGCCCGCCCCG